TTCGTTTGAGTAGTTTTGCTGAAAATATTTCTAGGAACTTGAATTGTAAAAAATCAATGACAAATACAACAAAGAGCTGATTCTAGCTATATTCCACAGAAATCATTTTAAGTTTTTATCTGGTTCTTGTGAATTCCGAAAACGAGTTTACGAAAGCCCTCTTTTTGGAGTACATAAAGCAATTTTTGGTTGTAACAGCATTTGATGTAAATAGATAGGTCATGAACCATCCGGAATATGATTTCAGTGTAAGGTGTTTCTAGTACTTTGTGAAAACTGGGCTTATTTCGGCTAATGGTCCTTTCTGGCAAATGAAGCATTAACATAAAACAGTCTTTTTTTTTTTTTTTTTTTTCTTTTTTTTTTGCTTTTTTGTTACAAGTTGAAATGTTTTCACATGGAAACTTTCCAGTTATACACTTGCCCCTGAGTACAATTTCATTACAATCTGAAAGTAAACATTCGTTATAGACTAGGTTGAACATTTCGATACTAGTCTTTAAAGATGAAACAGTATAGCAATACAGCTAACAATTTATATTAATCAATGTTTGTCAAGTGAGGTCATGCGAAGTCCAGATATAATTATCCAGATATTCTTTATAGTCTTCTATACTAACAGGTAAGTGTCAAAGTTTGTAAATTTTACCCTTCCCTTGGTCATATTAATTTGTAAACAAAGCTAACATTGAAATAAGTGTGAAATATATGGATGTTGGAGCTGAGATGTTTAGCTGCAAAAGACTGACCCAAATTTTGGAAATATAACACATCATTGCTACTTAATTGGGGTTGTGCTATAGAGGTGATGTCTATATGTAAACAGGATTACTTCCCTTTTTGGTGTTTGACTTTTATGTTAAATGTACATCCTGATAAAATGCATTGTGGAGCAATAGTTTATAGCTGATGTTTTACAAACCTTAACGAGTTATCTCCCTTCCTTTTCTATAACATTTTATAATTTACTGACAGATTAAAACGCAGGGAAGTAACTCTGGGAGATCAGAATGTGTATTAACTAACAAATTTCAAAATCTTTACAGTCTACCGATGCAATTCTTGCTTATGATCCACATAACCAGTTCTGGCTGCCATATTATTTGAATATGATAAAGATTGAGCAGAGAGCAATACATTTCCCTCGTTATGGGAAAATACTACGAGAAGATTATAGTGGTGATTTGAATTCAAATTTGTATAATTTGTCAGTTCTTCTAACCGCAGAAAACAATTAAATGCCTATGAAGCAATATTTGTGGGCCGAAATAAAAGAAACCCTGAGAACAGGAAAGAAAGTTTTCGAAAGATTGTTTGATACCAAGTAAGATGAAACGATGTAAACAAAATTCCATGTAAATGAACCCTGTCCATAACGATGCCAAATTTTCATCAAGTATGCTTAAAAAATCTATCTTTGAACGTTTGACACCAATCCAAAACAGCAATATTACCTTTCGGAAGACTGCCAGCACGACCAGGTTAGAAAAATTCTGCATTTGAACGGAAATCAACGTCTTGGGATTCATTTCAATTGAAGGACATATTCGCAAATTTATTCTTGAAGTAGTGAGCAGAGACAAACTATGACATTCCGATTGTGAATACAAGTACTACGAACCGTGTAATTTTCATCATATTTATGTAGTGATGTCTTCCTATTTTCGTTAGTGATAACACTGATAAATGTATTGCTCTGTGTGTTAAAATGCCAATGTTCCACTATTTCCTGATCAACAACAACCTACGAAATTTTGACTGCAAACCTTCTTAATAAACATCGTATGAAAATGTGATTGTATGAATACTAACCGCTGCAATTTGGCGTACCTTAATTGCTTCTTCTACAATGTCTTGACATTCCTTTATATCCCACATCTATTACTATTTCTCCACTTATATTTTTCTCAATATCCAATATATCCTTCTTCATCGACTCAGCAGCATCCTCTACCACCTTGTAAACGTTATATATACAGTCCGTCACTTCCCTTCTCAAACCCCGGAGGTCATTGTTGATGGTTGCGTACTTTGATTGCAATGCAACCACTTTAACATCATTTTGTCTGGTGGTATTTTGATATAATCATCATGTTTTGGACAGTCCTGGCAAAGTGGTTTGTTACAAGTGTCGCAGAATTCATTGATAGAATTCATAGGATGATGATATCATTTATCCACCCTAAATGCCTTTCAAATGGAAAAGCGTCAACTTTGGTTGGTTAATAAAAGCAACTTTGCCTTTTTGTCCTTTTATCGTATTCATTTGACTTTGAACCGTTTAACCGATTAACGTCAATCACGTGATGTATAAAATGACTATGAACGACGATCATTTTTCAAAAGTTTGTGGATGATTGCATTAGACAATTATATATTATGTAACTTATAAACTATCCTTGTTTTTTATAGCAAATTTCACGGTTATTTGAAGAAAGTGGTGATCACAATTATTAACCAACTCATGAAAATCAGTATGTAACTATTGTCGGTCGCTTAGATATACAAATTGTGGTCTATATTTGATTGTTACGTACTTTGGCGTGAATTCAATGGCTCCTGCTTTGTGTCTTTCTAATTTAACAAAATAACTGTTGATCGATGACAACATCATTTTACTGTTAAATCTGCTTTGGGAAAACAATTTATCAATTTAATTACTTCAATCATTATTCAAAAGAAAGATTTTACGTGTGTATGTTACAAGTAACTTAGAAATCGAGCAAACTAAACAAACTTTTGAATATCTGTGCTTACGATGGTTTCTAGCAAGCTCAGCTGATTTGAAAATAGGTTAATATTCAAAATTAAACTATATACAAATATAATTGGTTCCACATCATGTCACTATATTCCATCACTTAACCATTTTTCATATTAACGTAAAGCGTTTTACAGACTCTGGCCTATAAAACAACATTGTTGGTAAAGTTCAACCCTAGATTAAAACTGTCATTCGCACCTGTTTTATAAATAACCCACAACACCTATGGCCAGGAAATACATATGTTGTTTACTTTGTGTGTATGTGAAATCGCAATAAAACCAATGAACAATGTACAGGTTGCGGTCATACATCTCTCCTTAGGACAAGAAAGCATGAAATGCAAATTTGAAATACAAATGTACAGTACTTAGCAATTTATATTGCAGAGGGGCACATGTTTCGGAATGAATCTGGCTTAATAAACATCTTCTGGCTGGTTTTCTTTTTTCAAATATTACTCTGTGGAGTTCCTTGTCTGATCGAGTTTCTCGTTGTTTTATACATGTGGGTGTCGTAAATATTTCGATATAAAATTTCATTAAAAATGTCTTCATCTTACCACATGCCTTAATTCAAATTTCTTCAGACAAGTGCAGTCCTACAGAAAGTCTAGTAACAAATTTTGATTTTTATAAAAAATATTTATTGTAGACATACAATGTATACAAATTGCCATGATAGCAATTGTTTCCATATATAATTGTATATAACTGGTGCCTCATCCCTTGTTTTAAGGTTGACAATAAATACGTTTAAAGTGATAATTTAAGGCAAATTTCATACGACGTTTTACCGTCTACATGATTTTATCGTCTGAATTATCAGAATCCTCAAAAACATTCATTTGGAACCTAACGTAGCATATACGGTTGTTCTCGATCTCGCCTATTCTCACTATGGCGACTGTAACCAGATGTTGAACTTTTGATGTCACAGCCGATAGGGTCCCATTCAGTCATCCTTAGGCTGATTAGTAGTAGCAGGACAGATGAAAATCGTACACACCAATATCTCGGTATTTGGCCGACCAATACGGTACGGTTTCCAACCTTTTTGATTTTGTTTAAAAAAAAATAATTCTATATCCAGTTCTATTTTCTATTTTTTACTCAGGGTTCTTTAACTGAGATTTAAACGTAGTGTAAGATATCAGTAGTGTAAGATATCAGGGTTTTTTTAAACTCATATTTAAACGTAGTGTAAGATACCAGGGTTTTTTTTAACTCATATTTAAACGTAGTGTAAGATATCAGGGTTTTTAAACTCAGATTTAAACGTAGTGTGAGATATAAGAGTTCTTTAACGCAGATTTAAACCTAGTTATATTGTGTGTGAGTTTCGTTTTCACATATTAAGCATAGATAGGAGAGACTATCCTTACAAAGCAGAGGCTGTATATGTTACGTAATTAGCAATTCCATTTTATTTTCCAATATCCTCTTATGTTGCATTGTTTCAGTGACATCATTTACACATGAATGTTAATGAGGCACTTTATCAAAGGTTATCTCCTTAAAACCTATGATTGCATTGGCCATCTTGTGAAAAGATTTGCTTCTACTTACAACCTTATGCTGATGTAAATCGTTGTATATAAGCTATGATAAGCCAGATTTTCGATTAGGGTTAATCGATCAAATGAACCCAGTTTTACACAATAAATCTTTAAAAAAAACTGACCCCACCTATCTCTTTTCATTATATTGAATGCAGTTTCTATTGACGTGATCAGATTAGTGATATATGCTTGGGTAAAAGGACTCGCCGGCGAAACTGTCTGGGCAATATATTTGGTGCAACCAAAAAGAGACAATTCCCGATTATGGTAACTTTTGCCCATATTTTCAATCAATAAAAACAGTCTATTAATATAACTGCGTCATACCTACAGTAAGTATATCTTGGAAGCCTGTTTGACCCTTAGATACAACTAAATAACCACTACCATCTGTACGCGATGGAATGCATTACACACCAGGTACTTTTGGGAATTTTTGTGACTGGTCATTGGTCTGATTAGGTTGTGAAGTCAAATTCAATGCGAGACTGATCCATGCAACTATCAAAATTGACCTTAAAAGTAAAAGTGGTCACAATTTTGGTGGTCTTTCAGCGAGTTTTCACTTTATACTCATAAAACAATGGACTGAGGAACAGTATTTACCCATAGTCAACTGTAGCTTTGACTGTGTTACATCTGTGGCCAAAACGTTAAAGAGATATTTGAAAGACTTTACCCGATTACTTTATTTCTTAGTGGAATGCTCATGTTTTTGATTTCTAATAAATTCGAAATTTGTGGGTATCCTAGTCGCGGATATAATCGAGTGCACGCTTTGTTGGTTTCCCTCAAGATTTTATCGTCTATACCGTTTCTCCAAGCCTTTGCTATTCTCGTAGAATTTTGCATCTTATCAAGGATTCGAGTTTTTTCATTTGCATCGAAATTATAGCCCGTAAAGTTGTAGATTTTCTCAAATGTTTCAAGAGGTTCCATGACCATATCTTCGTAATATACGGTATACAGCCTGGTGGGATAAGCTGTTTTCACTTTTTCCGCTTCAAGAACATCATCGAACATTTTGTAACATAATGATATGGCACCACTTGGGACAGGGGTCCAGTCATATTTTTTCCTCGAGTTCATGATAGCTCTAGGATCTCTCAAAAGATGAACTATTTTCAAGTTCGGTAACCTGTTCAAAAGTTTTGAGGCTAAGCCGATGCTTATCCTCGGCATTTTGCTAACAATTGAACCATGTTGTGAACATAAACTCAAATACTTTCTCGAACAATTTACATTACAACCCAGAAAAGACTGTTCCCATCTTTGATCATTGGATATTTTAGAGGCAGCAGTTTGCCACCAGGTGATATTGTGGTTGAAATGGTCATACTCACAGCTGAATATAGCATGAACTATTTTTAGAACGTGGTCATCAATCTGAGCATTCTTCCTGTAAGATGAAAAAAGAAGCGAAAAGAAATTTGTTCATTTCTCGTAGTTAAAACACAGTACAGTCACGTCTGTGTTTACCTAGCTTGGTATTATCGAACTGAAAATAAACGAAAGTGAACTTGTAACCACAAGCATGCTCGGATGATTCCGTAACCTGTGCATGTTTCGCAGTTTCTGTTTCACGTGTTAATTTGAGACTATGACAGGCATTATGAAGGAGAAATATATCGCTAATGGAAACTGAGTAGGGAAGTACACAATCATTGTATGACTGAAGGATATGTGATATGGAAAACACTGCAGCACGTAACGAAGACATGAGCTAAAGGAATGTTTCATAATTAAAAAAAATGATTAATTAACTTTAAATATCTAAACGTAACTGCTGCTGGAAATGGAATTTCTGACATAAGCTAAGAAATGAAGTTCTGATTTTCAATGTTGATTAATTCCTGGAAGGATATATTTCGTATTAACTTTTTACCTTAAAAGATATAGCTTTGAAGATCGGTTACATGTGATATCATTATTATTTTCATATAAGCTGTTATTAACGAACCTGCATCCCCCCGTCATACTGCACTGGTGTCCAGGCTTGAAATATCCAAACTGCGCCATAGAGTAAAGTGGTTCATACAAGTAGAAGCTATTATTCCTTGAACCAAGAATATCTCCCATAAACGTTGTTCCACCTCCCAAATAACCCACCAGTAGTAAGTCACGTGACTTTTTTACTTGCATATCGTGCTTCGTTAAGGAGCCGTTTTGATGCGAATTGTCGCCATACGACCTGTAAATAAAGTGTAAATAAGACAATACTATTTTCTAAAGTTATGCAAAAGACAAAACGTGAAAACCAATTCTTAACACAAATTTAGTCCTAGGTACATTAAAGCGAACAATGAATCGAACAGCATCATAGAACTGCTTCATTCTTCTAGGACTCGTCAGTGATGTTACATCATACAACTGCTTCATTCTTCTAGGGCTTGTCAGTGATGTTACATCGTACAACTGCTTCATTCTTCTAGGGCTTGTCAGTGATGTTACATCGTACAACGCTTCATTCTTCTAGGACTCGTCAGTGATGCTACATCATACAACTGCTTCATTCTTCTAGGGCTTGTCAGTGATGTTACATCGTACAACTGCTTCATTCTTCTAGGACTCGTCAGTGATGTTACATCATACAACTGCTTCGTTCTTCTAGGGCTCGTCAGTCATGTTACATCATACAACTGCTTCGTTCTTCGAGGGCTCGTCAGTGATGTTACATCGTACAACGCTTCATTCTTCTAGGACTCGTCAGTGATGCTACATCATACATCTGCTTCGTTCTTCCAGGGCTCGTCAGTGATGCTAAGGGCTTAAGTTTTGAAACCTATGGCGGTTGTAAAATTCTAGACGGGGGGATTTATATACATACATTAATTTCAGAAGAACAGGTACATGTGTATATTCTGAGCCGCGCCACCATCTATACAACTATGGGCATGATATATCGCATTGTTCTCTGTTGGCTCCAACCCTGTTTTAAGTTGTTTTTCCCTCTGTTAATATTAAACGTGAACATACGATTGACTGATGAAGACCACAGTCGCCAGAACGCCACGGTCGTTGTATCGCTTTCCATCATTTGCTCCAGTTATATAGCACGTGTGAAATAATTAGGATACAGAATCAATCTATTGCAGTAAACATTGCGATGTAAAAGAAATAAATACTTCATTGAACCGTTAAAAGGAATTGTCAAAGTTTTTAAGCACAATGTAATACAATTGTTCAAAGAAACAAAGCGACATACAAACATAATTTCCTACCATTATTTTCCTACCTTACAGACACATGCCGAGGTAAGTGAAATCTCCTTATATTACGCGTTTTGGAAAGGGTTATTATTAAATACATGTTACGATATTGTCAGGAAGTCATTTTCGTTGTTTTTGTTTTATCTAGAGAATTCCAATTATTACAGAAAAAGAAGAATAAAAAAGAAACAAAATGGGGAAAATAAAAAGAAAAGTAAAAATATAAAGACGAATAAACAGTTAAATGATGAAATAAGTATACAGCAGTAAGTCGAAAAGAATTAAAACTAAATACGTACCGATCTAATCGTTTCTCCAACAACCTTTCATTGCTGATATTGTCCTTGTGAATTGAAATATACACATTGAGACATAGTGAAAATGCCGTGACAAGTAACAAACAAATTATATATGTTCGCCGTAGCATTATATTGCTGTAGAGAACTATCAATATCATAGACCAACAGATAAACCAAAACCAGACAAACACATAACTAGACTAGCAGTCGGTGTCTTCTGTCACGACGATTCATTAACAATGTTTACCTTGGTTAGTGCTTTTGAATATGTGTCAATGACTGGAATACGCGTTGTTTCAATAATGATTCATTGGCTACAATCATGTCGGCTTTATGAAGATTTCGTTATCTAGTTGTGTACCTATTTGTGATCACATAGTCTATCGTCGATTGTATTACAGATCATTGTACGCATTAACAATACGAAATTACGCCTAAATGCTCACGGAAATTTCAGTGTTGGCGATGCGTGCAACAGAGGTCAAAAGTCACATTGATTACTATTGTGATTTTTGGTTAATTGTATGCTACGGACTTGGGTCAAAAGATTAAAGTAAAAGAGCGCAGGCGAACAGCAAAAGTAGCACACGTAAAAGACTAAAGCGACATCACAGTAAAAACATTAGTTTTTTTTTATTGAGGGTACGTGTTTTTCTATACTTCCATTTTCGTTTCTATGCTATCCTGATATTCACAGTCAGTTTCCAAAGTCCAGGTTCTTTGGTTTAGTGAACCCCTTTCAAATTTAGCGTTGATAAAGCTACGTAATGGTTTTGAAAACGTGCACATGACGGCGGGCAAAAATGACAAGCGACAGTAGTGACACAGTAAGTAAAATCCCGTTTTTTAGAATTGGATGTTACCGTGGGTATGACTGATGTTGATAACTCTTAGTCAATTCAGAAATACGAAATAAGTGACATCAATCACCAGCAGTGCCACGTTTTGTGCGCATGCGTTATCATATATGACGGAAAAAAATATATATCCAGACTATTGATAGACAGATACGACGGATTTCCTCTAATAAATGCAATGGTGAAAAAAAATATAAGAAAATCATTTTACCGTTATAATAACGAATAATGAAAATGTCACATTAGAATTTTAGATTGTTTGATTCAACACACATAAGATTGTCAGGACAATAACTGGAACCTTTCTTAAAGTAAACAGTTGATTTTGAACAATTGATACATATCTTCAACCATACTTCAATTTATAACTTCTTTTGCGTTTAACCTCCATCACCAAACGCCTATTTTGAGTAGAAGTAAATAGGTAAACTATTTCAAAGATACTGTATGGTTGTTAAGTTTCGCGGGGATAATATTTTGCGGTTGTTCGAGTTTTGGCTTTTTCACGATGAATACATTTCGCGCATGTTTGTGCATTGTTATCTGTGTATATAAGAGATTTGCTTATTTGTGGTGAAATATTGCTCAGTAATTAATTTTGAGATTTGTGACCGCGAATATCATGAAATTAAATGCCGCGAATATTACCAATTATACAGTAAATCTTTTCGAAATCAGAAAAAGTAAAATAAATTTCTCTCTGTGATGACATGAAGGCTGATTTGAGGGACGGGTAGGGGTCTTAAATTACACTCTACCATGCAATGTACTTGTAAAACTTCCCTCTGTGATGACATGAAGACTGATTTGAGGGACGGGTAGGGGTCTTAAATTACACTCTACCATGCAATGTACTTGTAAAACTTCCCTCTGTGATGACATGAAGACTGATTTGAGGGACGAGTAGGGGTGTTAAATTACACTCTACCATGCAGTGTACTTGTAAAACTTCCCTCTGTGATGACATGAAGACTGATTTGAGGGACGAGTAGGGGTGTTAAATTACACTCTACCATGCAGTGTACTTGGGAAATCTACCGCTAGACGATGTACAGTAAAGCATGGAAATCACATGAAATCATGTATGGTTGGTTTCCGACCACTATTTTATTTTTGTTATTTTTTGTTTTTGTTTTTTGAAACAATACAGGAAATGAGTTAGGATTGGTCCATCGTACTATTCTTAAGAAGTTTTTAGAATCGGGGTCTGATTTTGTTTCTTCTGTCAAAACAACAATCAGCTACTGTTTCCCTTTGTGACTCATTTGACTCTGCCTCAGTCTGGGTTTTGTTGAGGATTCTTCGCTGTGAGTGAGAATTTTGGTTGTCTTCTGGGCGGAAGATGTAATAGACTACCAAATGTAATTACGACTCACTGTTAAGCATTCGGCATTGTTCTCAGAATAACATTACCAGGTGGAAAGTCCTTGTGGTCGTCTTCTGTAGTAAACGTCAACGTGATTACAAGTGTAGCACGATAAAGTCGGTGGAAGTTCTAATCCATCACAAGGAGACTTACCTTGTAGGAAGAAGCCATACTTGCACAGTACATCATGTCAGTTTTAATTCGCAATTCAAGTCCTCTCCAGTCTTAGAGCTGTCAACAATTCAATAATTAACATGAACATGAAAAATGTTTACTTGACTATGTCAGCCTACTACGCGAATACATATTCGATGTTGATTAGGAGCAATGAACGTCGCAACACTAGTTTTACCTAGGGAATCAACACTAGTTTTACTTAGGGAATCAACACTAGTTTTACTTAGGGAATCAACACTAGTTTTACCTAGGATATCAGCACAAGTTTTACCTATATAATCAACACTAATTTTACCTAGGGAATCAACACTAGATTTACCTAGGGAATCAACACTAGTTTAACCTAGATAATCAACACCTGTTTAACTAGGGAATCAACACTAGTTTTACCTAGGGAATCTAAACTAGTTATACCTAGGGAATCAACACTAGATTTACCTAGGGAATCAACACTAGTTTTACCCAGGGAATCAATACCTGTTTACCTAGGAAATCAACACTAGATTTACCTTGCTAATCAACACCTCTTTTACCTAGTTAATCAACATATCTTTAACTTGGGAATCAACACAAATTTTACCTAGGGAATCAACACTAGATTTACCTAGGGAATCAACACTTGTTTAACTAGGGAATCAACACTTGTTTAACTAGGGAATCAACACTAGTTTCACCTAGGAAATCAACACTAGTTTTACCTAGGGAATCAACACTAGTTTTACCTAGGGAATCAGCACCAGTTTTACCTAGGGAATCAACACTTGTTTACCTAGGGAATCAGCACCAGTTTTACCAAGGGAATCAATACATGTTTACCTAGGGAATCAAGACTAGTTTTACTTAGCTAGGGAATCAACACTAGATTTACCTAGGAAATCAACACTAGTTTTACCTAGATAATCAACACCTGTTTAACTAGGGAATCAACACTAGTTTTACCTAAGGAATCAACACTAGTTTTACCTTGCTAATCAACACCTGTTTTACCTAGTTAATCAACATATGTTTAACTTGGGAATCAACACAAATTTTACCTAGGGAATCAACACTAGATTTACCTAGGGAATCAACACTTGTTTTACCTAGGAAATCAATACCTGTTTTTCTAGACGTTTACATATTGATAATCGCCAGCGGACGTGCTGAACTCTTAGATAAATGTCAAGGCTTTCATGTCCAAATTTCTGTTTTTTAATACAAGAACACATTTTTGAAGCATGGTGGTATTTTGATAACGCGCTCGCCTTTCACATAAGCGTCCGGGGCTCAAATCCCGGAATGGATCAGAATAGATATAGGGTCATATGCTCGACCTCAAATTCTTCAATCCTCCAGGTCAACAAGAGTGATTGATACATAACCTGGAAATACTTGTTTTGAATTTTTGTAAGATAAATAAGTTAGATTATTAAAACATTTTCTGAATACAAACAAATCAACAATTTGTTTATCTCCACTTTAAAAAACATACCATAATATCGAATATTGGAATATGTTAAGATAATGACATATCAGTGACTATGAATATTTTCATAAAAGTTCTCTATAAACGGATTTGTCTTTATATTAAGCTTTAACTATTGGCTACACATTATTTGTATACATGTAACTAAGTTTTGTACTATTTTACAAACCGGTCGTACTTTAGGCATAAATGTTTTCCTATACAGCAACCGATGATTTAAAGCACACACACCGACATGATCACAAACACACCATCACCAACATCAACACCACCACCACACTCACACACACTTACACCCATTAATGCACCTGCTAAAATACAGCTGTTTTCCGTCGCTGCAAAATATAGCAAAAATATATGTAGCAGGTGTGTTCCGACAAAGTTACCGTCAGAAATAAGTATATAGAATGCTTATCATCAACGATCCTTTGACTTATTTGGCGATATTGTAGGGAATTCTCTTCCTGTCGTCTTCATTCTGAGAGGGATGTTTGTATCATTAATTTCCATTCGATTCACAAATTGCGGGTATCCGAAAACCGGATACAAATGAGCACATGCTTTGTTTGTCTCTGTCAGGACATCATCGTGTATACGTGTTCTCCAGGCTGTGGCGATTTTCGATGAATTTCTGATCTGGTCAAGTATCCGGTGTCGTTCATCCGCATCGAAATCATAACCTGAAAAGTTATACATTGCTCCTATGGTCTTCAATGGATCTGTTACCATATCCTCGTAAAACACGGTCAATAATCTCCCGGGGTAAAGAATTTTCACTTCATGTGATTCTCTAAAATCATCGGTCATTTTGTTGCATAAAGATATGGCGCCACCTGGGACAGGGGTCCAGTCATATTTCTTCCTGGAGTTCATTATGGCTCTTGGATCTCTTAAGAGATGAATGATTTTTAAGTTCGGTAACTTGTTTAAAATTTTTGATGCTAAGCTAATACTTATTCTGGGTATTTTGCTAACTATGGAGTCATCTTTTGAACATAAATTAATATACTTCATTAAACAAATTCCTTTACAATGTGGAGATATTTTCCAATGACGATCGTTGACCTTCTCAGCGCCACCAGATTTTAGGATTTGCCACCAGTTGACATCGTGAACGTATTGGCCATACTCACAATTGAATAATGCCTGAACTCTTTCAAGGACTTGACTATTCGTTGCATTTCTTCTCCTGTGAAGAGAAGAAAAGCATTTAAGACAGGAATGGTTTAAATAGGTTGAAAAATCGCATTGTACACTGGTAATTTATACTTAATATCATCGAACTGAAAGAATTTAAAACAAGGGAAAAACTGGAAAAAAACAAAACAAATAAACAAAAAAAAAAAAAAAAAAAAAAAAAAAAAAAAAAAAAAAACACAAAAAAACAAAAAACAAAAAAAGACAAAAGACATGCTCGTAGATTATGGACTTATCACATGTCTGCGATTGAAGTAACGGACAAGATCGACGATGTATGATAATTGAATCGGGAGGATTTGTTTCGTTGGTTGATAGTTGTTAGTTTGCTTTTTTATATTTTCATAGTCTAGACCTCTATAATGGTGGCTCCTTGCAGTGTTTATTGATAATTAGATATAAACTGCGACATTAGTATTTAAATATGATATTCACCTGACGTGTACAATATTTTAAGATGATTTATGGCTTGCTAAATCAATCACACTTACATTTCATGAATTCTTTTGGAAATTTTTTTCAGATATTATCGCAAAATGGCAACTGTTATTTCGGGGACTTTTCAATGCTTTTGCTAATATTTCAATTTTTTTGACTGCTTTTATGCTAAACCTCATTGTAGCAAAATAGTCTATAACCATTTATTTACAAACTATCACAAACATAACTTAATGGTACTGAAAAAACAAACATGTCAATTAAATCATGATCCAAGCTCGAATTCCATTAAACTAGGACATCAGATGAACTAAAAGAAATATCTAAGTGGAGAACCTTGAAAATGTACAAGAAGAATAAGACCGGGTGTTTCGTAAGCGTTTTCTGTTTCATTTACGAAATCTGCCATGCAAATCCATGTAAGTAATGTCATGTTTAGAAAATTCCGAGAATGAAAAAATGCTAGAAAAAATCCGATAAACGAAGCACTGTTTTGACATTTGACTAACGAAAACTGGTTGAAACCGGTCTATACAGATAACTCATTTTGCGGTACTCAACTTTACGAATTACATATAAATGATAAAACGTTGTTAAAATACCATATATTGGGACATAATAAGTAGTTTAGGATGGCATTCGTCGATTGAGATGTACATTATTGTTTCCTTCTCCATGCTGATATTTGATCTAACTAACGTGTCCGGGGCTGAAAATATTACTTCTGGCGGACAGCAACACTTTAGATTATAACATCTAAACAAAAAGTTGTTTTTGTTTGTTTAGTTTTTTGGAATAGGAAATATTTTGTATAATGTTAGGATTACTAGAGGTAACAGGAACTAATAAGCCTGGGGAGGAAAACGAAAAAAGGCAATTACAATGTAGATAGCAAGCCGTTATCAAAGATTTTTTAAGTAATGGAAATAATGTATTTTTAATGTTGAAGTGCAGAATAATTAAACTTTACACTGCGGATTAGCATTAGAAAGAAAATTCAGATGGGAATGGATATCTTAACCTAAAAAACAATCATAAGATATTGCCATAATAATCATTGCTGAATTTTTCATGTTTGGTTGTCATTCAGATTAATAGTGTAATGGTAGTCATACCGTCTGTGGATTTTTATTATCATAAGTGGTTACAACATCGTAAATGAGACATTCTGGGAAGTTCTATACTTAGTTCATATCGATTTACTTATTTCAAAACAAAACAGATTTGCATTTGACACAACATTGCTTTTTCCCTTATACAATGCTCTTCTACTAACCTGCAGCTTTCTTTTTTCATACTGCAGCTATAGTCTGGCTTGAAGTATCCAAACCTATATAAGGAATACAATGGTTCATACAAATAGAAGCTATCATTCCGTTTCCCAAGAATATCTCCTGTAAAAGAGGTTCCGCCTCCTAAATAGCCAATCAGTAGTATGTCGTGAGAATTCTTTCGTTTCTTTCCATTGTTGGACAAAGGGAACGGGCGATATTGGGGATCAGCAACTACTCTGTAAACAAAATGTCATTTATTAGTAAAAAGTAGCGACGAAATGAGAAAGAGGCTACCTATATATATATTTGTGTTTCCCAAAGAGGACAGTTTACTTTTTCTTGTCTCCATCCCATAATCTTGGCCGCCCGAAACTAGTTCACTTGTTGCCATCTGAAACCCTAGCGGGTATTTATAACAATGTTGATATTGTTTTTACGTATATAGTATTGTTGAATACTACACTTGCAATGAAAATTCTTTTTTCAGTGACGAATCAATCAAAATAGGATTACGGAAAAACTTACGTACAATTATTGTACTAATTCACAGCAAATATTAAGCGCAGCATTAATAATCATGTATACATATACGCTTGGCCAAACACTTGACCAACCATATTTTGGACTGGGCTTAATTTTACTCGACGTATTTAAGAAAATTCAACAGGATATATAGGACGTTTAGGCAGTAAACGGAAATAAATAGTCGATGGAAAAAATAATAAAACAGAATCGTAAGTGCTGTATCATTTTAAAACGATGTGCTCAAAATGCATTTTCAAAGTCAAGAAAATAGTTTGACCAAAACCATCTCTTATTTTCAGATACGTCATCAAATCATCAAAACCTATTGCTTAATCAATGAGAAATATTGGACATGAAAGTGTCAATATCGGATATAGGCGGCCACACTTCTGTTACATTTCTTATGTCCCTATTCTCATACCATTGACCAGAACCGAAGCTTGGTTTGAGGAAGCTACTGCCGCTCTTAATTCAGCGAATCGGGTAATTCTCATATTGCTTACTATTTGGATCCCGGGCATTTACTTTTTTCCGAGATAATTTCACACCTGCTGGTTTAATGTGCTGACTCTACAGGCGATGGAAGAAAAACGTTTCTATCACTTCTTGTTTGATGTAGTATTTGTGCATTGTATGGTTTGGCATTGCCATCCATTAGGATAAGCCGATCTGCCAATGGATTGGCATTGACATAATAAATAACTAAAGGCTGAAGGATCTGATCATGGTACTGCTGCCTTTATAAAGTTCTATCAAGGACTTGAAAGCGAAACTTAAATTAAGAGAAAACTATAACCAAACAGCAATATCGCCAACACTAAAGGCTGTTGTGTCCAAAATGTCATTCTAATGGTATGCCGTATTTCTTAGTCTCCAAAAAAGGATTTTCCGTCTGTAAGACTCTTCACCCAGACCTAATATTCCGTTTCCGGAGATCACGTGCCGATTGGAGTCTTGGTGGCTTTCAGTCAACAGAGGACGTTTTACTGGTCGGTGAGAGCGTAGTTACCTATTGCTTAAACGTCGTTTGTTCAGGGTACGCCGGCTAATCCGAATATTGGCATCCCACTCTCCTCTGATCGTCGGTGGTAAATGGGGTTCGTCGTGCATTTCTACACAAACGTTTGTCATCTCTGACTGTAGAATTTGAAAGATTACTAAACCTGAGACTCGTGAATACGTTTGATTCAGACGCTGCATTGTTCCAGAAGTAACAGAATAGCTGACATCTAATTTCCTGTATGTAATACCATCTTCAACCATTATAGAAACATGTCATCTGTGATTTTTCGGCATTCTTCAATTTTCGATGTGCCGTCTTTCATTAAAGTACAATTATGTATGACTTAGGGTATGCATCGCTCGAAATATGGAAGCACGTATCAGAAGGATTTATATGACTCGTGATCAATTGCTGAGATGTTTTATTTACACTTGATGTACTTCAGTAATAATCTTCAGTTGATTATAACATTGAAAGCAATATCCAAATAACAAGAAAATGGCAATCTAAATGAAAAAATCACTTTGTTTAACAAACAAATAAACTGTTATTTTCCTAAACAAAAAAATGATCAACAGATCGAGTACTTACCGAACAACCCCTTTAGATCTGGGATTGTCGAGGAAATCAGAGCGATATATCATATAGGATAATAACAATGCTGTGAACAGAATACCAGCCAGAAGAAACAGTCGCGGAGACATCATGCTGTCATTTGGACCTTGCCAACGTACATACCCAAACGTAAATATTGCCGGCACGGAAAAGTTTTGTTTTTCAAATTGTGCATGCAATAATTTCCTCTCAGGAATAGCTTCAATGCATAGCAATGTGTTTTGTAGTTTGTCGCAGTTTGCACCACTATAGAGTTAAATAGGATTTACGTGTCATTAATCATCGAGTTCCACACGTTTATGACGCGTGTGACAGGTGGATTGTTATTGGATTTGTTAAGGTTAAAGTACAGAAACAAAGAAGGGGACTTACATTATTTTTTTTTTCGGGCGGGGGAGGGGGGGGGGTGCATTTTTCAGCACAATTTTTGATCAGACCCGACAGATTCTTACAAAAGTAAGCGTGCCACTTATCTGAACCTGTCGAACTCATTCTAGTCGCTACCATTCAACGGTGGTGACTCATATCAAAATAATGCAGTATGTTTAATACAGTAGAAGGCTTATAAACTCCCAGTCAGTGATTATAGATTTGGCAGCGTATGGTTAACGTTTTTTCTTCTAATCATCCGAGAATATCTTAAGAAACAAATTAGAAATATATGTCTGTCAAAACGTCACTGATACATATATATGTGTTTCAGTGACTTAATTTGTATTTTAATTGATTATTTTCATACACATGATTGTTGACGTCATAAAGAAGCCTACAATTTAAAACCTTAAAATTAAGATATTAATTAAATATATAACTAAATAGATAAAGTAAACAAGCAATTAGATAATAGATAAATAAATATGAATCTACATTATGATACTTGTAGTCAAACTTGTAGATCTGAACTTAATAGGTATAACAACTCCTAATCTTTTCTGTTGAAATTCAGTTTACAGTATCTCTCAATAGTAATAGAAAATAGCAGAGTTGTTCTCCATACTTAGGGTGGAATTGATTCGTCACTCGTCCATACATCTCAGATTGCTAACTAATTACCATGCATTTGTAGACAAAATATTGATGCAGATGGACATACATATATCACTCTACTATTTCAACTACAGTGTAAGTTCCGCATATTTGTTATACTGATGACGGTAACGCACCTAAACCGATGAATTTCATTTAAAATGTAATATATCTATATTCAATTTCATTTCTTGAGTTTATATCTACATATGTTGATGTTAATTCCCTTCTCCTGTGCTATTCTTCTTCAACAACATAAAGACTGTTAAAAGTGAGGAAGAATCATGCTTGTCGGTTTTACTCCTTGTAAATACAGTACACTTGGAAATGTGATTATAACTGAAAAGATATTCAACTCGCATTTGTTTCCTTTGAGAAAGACGGATAGATAGCTTTACTTCTAGCGTCACAATCGCTACTTTATTATTGTGACACGGATTTAAAAGTTGAAAAGTGCGAAATACATCTGATACCGTCCCCGCCCATCAACACCCCTTCACCTACACACTTTTCGCCACGCCTTTTCTTTCTGTTCCTTTCTGTGCTTTGTTTGTCATCCTTGATGTCTTCTTGCCACTGATCCTCTTGTGACCCTGTCTGTTGAGAGGATGTTTAACTCATAAAAGCGAACATTATTTATGAATTATAAATAAGCATATCTGCTCGAAGTCTTTATGTTATTTCGTATATCACATTTGCATTTCTTATTTGCGATCAAGTATCGTATTATTTGTCATTGTCCAAGGCCCGTGGAGTAATGTCACATACTCTATTGACGTCTGTTTGACATCGACCGATATATATCGGCGATGTTATTAAAGTGTCTGGCCCCTTTTACTTTTAATCGGAGCGGGAAACTCCTGTTTCTTATTTCCTCTATATTTCTAACTTGCGGGTATCCCAGAAGCGAATATAAGTGACTGCATGCTTTATTTGTTTCTTTTAGGACATTATGGTCGATAATGTTCCTCCAACCCCATGCAATGTTCTGGGAATTTCGCGTTTTCTTATTAATACGGAGTTGTTCATCTGCATTGAAGTTATACCCCGCAAATGTATAAATATATTTAAATGTTTCGAATGGATCCGTCACCATATCCTCGTAAAACACAGTGTAAAATCGTCCGGGATAAACCCTTTTCAATTTTACTGATTCAAGAAAATCATCTGCCATTTTATTACATAACGCTATAGCGCCACCTGGGACAGGGGTCCAGTCATATTTGTTCCTTGAGTTCATTATAGCTCTTGGATCTCTCAGGAGATGGATTATATTCAGGTTCGAAAACTTATTCAAAAGTTGTGAAGCTAAGCTGACACTTACTCTTGGTATTTTGCTAACTATTGAATCATAATGTGAACATAATTTCAGATACTTCATTAAGCAAGTTCTGTTACATCTAGAAGAGGAAATATTCCAGTTTCGATCGTTGACTTTTCCAGCTGCACCAGATAATCGGACCTGCCACCATTGCACTGTATGATTGTAATGATCGTAATCACAGTTGAATATTGCCTGTACGGTCCTTATAGCTTGGTCGCTGGTCTGATTGTTCTTCCTGTGAAAAAGTAAAAACATTTAATAATAATGATAATTTTGGATTCCTTTTTCCATTTAAATACGATTCCAAATTTAAAAAAGGAAGAATAATAAACGTTAAATCAAAATATAATTGCTGAACTTAATGCCACCAGTCATGTGACCTGTTGGTCTTCAGAATTTGCCGGTTAATAATATTTGTACTTATATTTATTGCAGCTATTTGATTCTATAATACAGCATATATGTAATAAAACCAAAGTGAGTGATATCACTGTGTTAAATTATAAGGGATGTATGCATTGTATATGTTCTACAATTTCAACAGAACATTTTTATGTAGAATGCTTGATTCAATCTAGATACCTATATGTACCACATACCTAAGAACTACCAATTGACTTACCAACAATTGCCCGTCTTCATGCTGCATTGGTACCCAGGCTTGAAGTATCCAAATCGTGCCATGTAGTGAAGTGGTTCATACAAATAGAAACTAGTATTTCTGGTTCCTAGAATATCTCCCAGAAGTGATGTTCCACCTCCCAGATAGCCTATAAGTAGTATGTGATGATTCTTCTTTACCTGTTTCCTTAGCCTTTCCACATGACTTGTAGTCCTCAAAGGATAACTAAGAAACCTGTGAATAATATAGAATAGAAGTTCTCATAACACAACCAGTAGAAGGTTTAATGTGACGCGTCGATGACTACACGGTCACCTTCGTCTCATAACACAATCAGTAGAAGATTAGAGTGTGACGTTTCGATGACTACACGATCACCTTCATCTTATAACACAACCAGTAGAAGATAAGAGTGTGACGTTTCGATGACTACACGATCACCTTCATCTTATAACACAACCAGTAGAAGATAAGAGTGTGACGTTTCGATGACTACAAGGTCACCTTCATCTTATAACACAACCAGTAGAAGATTAGAGTGTGACGTTTCGATGACTACACGGTCACCTTCATCTTATGACACAACCAGTAGAAGATTAGAGTGTGACGTTTCGATGACTACACGTCATTTTCATCTCATAACACAACCAGTATAAGATTAAAATGTGACGTTTCGATGACTACACGTCATTTTCATCTCATAACACAACCAGTAGAAGATTAGAATGTGACGTTTCGATGGCTACACGGTCACCTTATAGTTCTTATAAAACAACCAGTAAAAGATAAGAATGTGACGTTTAGATGACTACACGGTCACATTATAGTTCTGATAACACAACCAGTAGAAGATTAGAATGTGATGTTTCGATGACTTCACTGTCAACTTTATATTATAACACAACCAGTAGAAGGTTTAATGCGACGTTTCGATCACCTTCATCAGACAAATGACTAGCTCTGACGTACTTAGTGCACGAGATGCAAATAATAGGTGTCTCATAGAACCAAACCATAATAGAATTTAATCGTACTTTGCATCGATATTTATCAGAAGTTTTGTGATTGGCTGCGTCATCAGAAACAGATAGACACGATTTTCAAAGGCATTCTCATAAATATCTCAAAGTGCGTAAGTCTAATGAGCGACCTAGATATACTATATTGTCTGTAGAGGACATCGATTCACACATGGTGGGAAAAATTAGAAAATAAAGAGAAAATATTGTTAGTAATGTCGGAATATTGACGAGGGTGAGTTTGTTCTGTAATAAACCAAGTTTGCGTTTCCCCAAAATACTAAAGATTATTTTGAATAACGCCAAGTACATGTGTATATGTTCACATTCCTCTAACCCTGATTTAGACATGCATGCCAATATTCTTATCAATTAGTGCAGGTCTTTTGTATAGCACTTCATTGTCTTTATATCTTTGGATTTAAGTTCGATTCAGCAGAGCGCGACGTAACTATTAAAACAATGAGGAGACACATCTGTTTGTTCCATCTTTTATGTAATATATAATTTGTAAATGCATATACCTAAATAAGTAAAATCTGATCAATAAACATCAATGGACCACCAGTTCGTCCTTCATATTGCGACAACACCAAGGGGTGATATCGGTAATGTTAAAATCATCAGACAGAGCAACAACACCAAGGGGTGATATCGGTAATGTTAAAATCATCAGACAGACAACAACACCAACAGGTGATATCGGTAATGTTAAAATCATCAGACAGACAACAACACCAACAGGTGATATCGGTAATGTTAAAATCATCAGACAGACAACAACACCAACAGGTGATATCGGTAATGTTAAAATCATCAGACAGACAACAACACCAAGGGGTGATATCGGTAATGTTAAAATCATCAGACAGACAACAACACCAAGGGGTGATATCGGTAATGTTAAAATCATCAGACAGACAACAACACCAACGGGTGATATCGGTAATGTTAAAATCATCAGACAGACAACAACACCAACAGGTGATATCGGTAATGTTAAAATCATCAGACAGACAACAACACCAAGGGGTGATATCGGTAATGTTAAAATCATCAGACAGACAACAACACCAACAGGTGATATCGGTAATGTTAAAATCATCAGACAGACAACAACACCAACAGGTGATATCGGTAATGTTAAAATCATCAGACAGACAACAACACCAAGGGGTGATATCGGTAATGTTAAAATCATCAGACAGACAACAACACCAACAGGTGATATCGGTAATGTTAAAATCATCAGACAGACAACAACACCAACAGGTGATATCGGTAATGTTAAAATCATCAGACAGACAACAACACCAAGGGGTGATATCGGTAATGTTAAAATCATCAGACAGACAACAACACCAACAGGTGATATCGGTAATGTTAAAATCATCAGACAGAGCAACACCAACAGGTGATATCGGTAATGTTAAAATCATCAGACAGACAACAACACCAAGGGGTGATATCGGTAATGTTAAAATCATCAGACAGACAACAACACCAACAGGTGATATCGGTAATGTTAAAATCATCAGACAGACAACAACACCAAGGGGTGATATCGGTAATGTTAAAATCATCAGACAGACAACAACACCAACAGGTGATATCGGTAATGTTAAAATCATCAGACAGACAACAACACCAAGGGGTGATATCGGTAATGTTAAAATCATCAGACAGACAACAACACCAACAGGTGATATCGGTAATGTTAAAATCATCAGACAGACAACAACACACCATCAGACAGGGTGATATCGGTAATGTTAAAATCTTCAGACAGACAACAACACCAAGGGGTGATATCGGTAATGTTAAAATCATCAGACAGACAACAACACCAAGGGGTGATATCGGTAATGTTAAAATCATCAGACAGACAACAACACCAAGGGGTGATATCGGTAATGTTAAAATCATCAGACAGACAACAACACCAACAGGTGATATCGGTAATCATCGGGTGAATGTTAAAATCATCAGACAGACAACAACACCAACAGGTGATATCGGTAATGTTAAAATCATCAGACAGACAACAACACCAACAGGTGATATCGGTAATGTTAAAATCATCAGACAGACAACAACACCAACAGGTGATATCGGTAATGTTAAAATCATCAGACAGACAACAACACCAACAGGTGATATCGGTAATGTTAAAATCATCAGACAGACAACAACACCAACAGGTGATATCGGTAATGTTAAAATCATCAGACAGACAACAACACCAACAGGTGATATCGGTAATGTTAAAATCATCAGACAGACAACAACACCAACAGGTGATATCGGTAATGTTAAAATCATCAGACAGACAACGACACCAACAGGTGATATCGGTAATGTTAAAATCATCAGACAGACAACAACACCAACAGGTGATATCGGTAATGTTAAAATCATCAGACAGACAACAACACCAACAGGTGATATCGGTAATGTTAAAATCATCAGACAGACAACAACACCAACAGGTGATATCGGTAATGTTAAAATCATCAGACAGACAACAACACCAACAGGTGATATCGGTAATGTTAAAATCATCAGACAGACAACAACACCAACAGGTGATATCGGTAATGTTAAAATCATCAGACAGACAACAACACCAACAGGTGATATCGGTAATGTTAAAATCATCAGACAGACAACAACACCAACAGGTGATATCGGTAATGTTAAAATCATCAGACAGACAACAACACCAACAGGTGATATCGGTAATGTTAAAATCATCAGACAGACAACAACACCAACAGGTGATATCGGTAATGTTAAAATCATCAGACAGACAACAACACCAACAGGTGATATCGGTAATGTTAAAATCATCAGACAGACAACAACACCAACAGGTGATATCGGTAATGTTAAAATCATCAGACAGACAACAACACCAACAGGAGACAGACAACAACACCAACAGGTGATATCGGTAATGTTAAAATCATCAGACAGACAACAACACCAACAGGTGATATCGGTAATGTTAAAATCATTAGACAGACAACAACACCAACAGGTGATATCGGTAATGTTAAAAGCACTAATCAGAATGAAAGCGATGTGTGCTGTGATTCGGGCGTATTGTTAGTGATGTGTTGTTGACTTTCTAATGCTTATTTCATACATACCGATCCATTCCTTTCCCCAAGAATTCTATTTTGCCGCTATCCTTTTGATTTGAAAAATAAACGTGAAAGCACAGTGACATCGTTATAACAAGTATGAAGCTCAGTAGATACGTTCTTCTCAACATTGTGTTACAATTAAATCACTACGTTAGTCCAAAACTGTGTGTCCGCTACCATAAGCATCAAAAACAACAGATAATCTTGTATTGGCAAGCATTGTGAAAGGACAGCCGCATCTATTGGTTTACAAGTGACCATCGTGTATGGTTTAAATACATATGTATCGAGGTGAGTTCCATTGAATTGATTGTCTGATTACAATAACAAAAGCTTTGTTCTAATCAGCTGATAGAGTTGTAATTTAGATCTGTTTATGTAAAGTTACATTATCAGCGGTTCTTCGTATTATACATTTACGATCAACATGAGCGAGCATTGACAATCAAGGATACACTTAAGTGATCGCTGACCTTTCCAGTGTTGACCATGTGGGACTGGGATCATATAGCAAACAGGTCGTCATACGGTAGGTAGCGATCGTGATTATTCATTGTGCATCACAACAATATACTGGCGATGTTGATGGTAGGTTCACAGATTTCTAACGCCATTTCTCTTACTTATCTCACCAAACATAAACGTGGGTTGTAATATTAGATCAGTATTGGAATAACGAAAAGAGCATAAGTAGAAAACACAAAAGAGCAATAAATAAACAAATAAACAAACAATTAAATAAACAATTAAAGAATAGATTACTGGCATATTTGATTGACTAGAAACAGATTTTGTATTATTTTTACTTATAAGAAAGAAACATTTCAGAACTTGTAATGAAAAAGAGCTACAATGTAATTTTACAAAAGATGGAATTTCTGAAAACATTCTAGCAACACCATAACAGTGTGGCAACACGTGAAGATTATGTCTTTAGTTGTACCGTACTGGTTAAAAGGATAGGATAAAAATAAACACTTTCCTTGAGTTTGTATCTTCCTACCATTTTATAGGAAAAATCAAGAGTACGACAAAAAGTAGAAAACGAAACATTATCAAGCCAATAAACAGATGTGAAAGACAAAGAAAAGGTACAGTATACATTTGTTTCAAGTATATTTCACTATTACAAGATTAGATCCAAATATCTTGAAGTAACTTTTAAAAAACTGCACAAAACCTTAACCATGAAACACTTCTACTAAAAAGAATCATTTGACAGAATTTGATTTATGTGTCCTAATCAACGGGTTAATCTATCCACGATTGAATATATAGCTTGGTTGATGCAAGGGAAATAACTCCTATTGATTTCATATTTCCATATAAGGAGAGAGGAGCAGGATGGAGGCGTTACTATATCCAATAAACGGTATCCCGTTACCGATACTGCTAGCCGAAATTAAAATGTAAAGTTACTACCTACATATTTCACTCGTATAATGACGTAGTACATAAAATAACTCTAAATTCACTTCCAAGCCATTAAAAAGGTACAACTAAAGCGGCAGAAACGTCATTGACAACACACCTTTCCATGGCAACAATAGGTTGATCTGACCGTCATTAAAACAACGGTATTTACTTCATATATGTAGCAAAAGTGTGATTTATGTTTTACAGAAATGTTTTAGTCGACTTTATTACTAAACGATAAATTACAACAAGCTTATGTAACCAAATATTGAAATCGAGTTCTGTCCGCGCTCTACACTAACCAAGCCAGTATGCATGCTTCACAATCATCTTGACATCAATAAATTGTGTCTAATAAAAGTTTCAAAAATGTTTTAAACAATCGATGCAATTATTTTAGAATAAACATAAACTGATTACTTATTGAAAAATAACTTGTCATTTGTAAGAAGTTTCTATGCTTTTCCGTAAAAAGTTTACCTGCTTTGCAACTTTATTTATATATTTCTGACATGCGCATTTCACTCTTCCGATTCTTATGTTCGGCAGTACTCAGTAGTATTCAGTGTATTACAAGCCGTATTATCATTCTATGTTGGTGGAATGTGTTTTTTTTAAATCGATTATACATACGATACATTATCACGTTTAGTTCTTAAGGTAAAAGTGTACAATAAGGACTGTGACACACATTTTGATTTGAGACTAAAAATCGCAGTACTTGTCAAATCAGTAACAGGCTTGTGTTTGATACGACTTATCTGTTCTGTCGAGGTTTACAAGGAAACCAAGTAAACAACTGAAATGTCTGACGGATGACGCCGTCAGTCTGGGTCATCCCTTGGACATTATATCTTACTCCGTAATTACAAGGATAGGAGGTGAAAGTCGCTGTATACAAGACAAAACTAGATACCACGTGACTGGTCAAAGGCAAAACTATATATACCACGTGACTGGTCAAGGGTAAAACTAGATATCACGTGACTGGTCATGTGTATCAATACGACAAATTCCTAAGTCGGACACCAAAGATCCCACAGTCCCTCTCAGCTACTTTGGAATGTCATTATTATCCATTCAATGTAAAATTTACACTAATGGTTAGGAGTACACGATATACTGACAAACAAACAAAGTGGCTTCCGCCGGAAAAAAAAAACTATCTGGACCACATTTAGTCGCTTTATATCATCATCGTTAATCGAGACTGTTTGTGGCAGAAAATCAAGGAAATGCCAACATATCACCATACCTATAATCTAAGCTGAAATTTAGTGAAAACAAAATATGAGAAAGAGAAAGATTTACATGGAGACGCCTGCCATGTAAACCTAGATCAACTAGAGTAAGTAATGTCACGTTCTCAAATGAGAACAATGTATACAACGAGCAACAATCACGTTCAACTTCATATAACGCAAAGAAATATAATTTTTACCAATGTTTTAATTCATTCGAATGATGGCACAGTGCATGTACACATGTACTTGATTTTGTTTTAAAATTGTCTAATATATGAAAATTAAGAAATTCACTAAATCATGGGTCTACTGCACCTTCTCGCCTAAAGTTTGACTTTTCCTTGTATCTCTCTAGTAAAAATAACAATTTTAAATGTATAAGTTGAAATACAATACCGTGACTGTGAGTGAGAAAATATTACTGGAACGAAAACAAAATTAAATTTACATTCCCTGGTCTCTTAGCTCTCATTCATAAATGTCATTCTCGTCACGTCCATTATCGGCTGTCATTCCAACTGACCGTGTGAAACCAGGGGCACTAACTCTAGGATATGATAATAACTGTATGTATTTACATGGCAACAGAAATATCGCCATTGTGTATAGTAGAGCTCTACATAAGATAGGTGTATTGCGAACTAGCTCGATTCTGTGTCGTCAGATTTACCAGGCAAACATGGCTGGTTACACTCGAGTTTGTGTTATAGGAGCAGGGCCATCTGGCGTGTCTTATTTGTATCAGGACAGTAAACGACGTGATTCTGGAGACACCTATGAAGTTGTTTGCTATGAAAAACAGTCTGACTGGGGTGGATTATGGAATTATACCTGGCGAACAGGTAAGTTTATAATATCATTTAATGAAACGTCGCATCATTATCAACTAACATTATGGGATCTTTCGAGATATTCATTGGAAACGCATAACTGGTATTAAATCAATATGATATGAAACTTCAAGAAAACAACAATGGACATGCTTTTTAAAGATAGGTACGTTCCTAGTATTCATTTCTAATAATACACCGAGGGTGGGCCTGTACAATGATGGGATGAAGGGTTACTAAGTTTGGTAAAAGCAATGATCTTGACCTACTTTCAAGGTCACAGGTCAAATAAAGAATAAATAGGAATTCTCAAAGGCTCATTTTCAATATTGTTATCAAGATAATGGAATCGAGAACGGCAATTAGTTTCTAATGCTTCTGCAGTTTAAGTAGAGTAAGCTCAAGTCAAAGTCACTAGGGTTGTCAGGACCGAGATTCCGTTCAATATGTCCACTAAGAATGAAAATGATGAATATATAAGGAATATCGGTACTGTAGAATTCAGATGCATGCAGAAGATAATGTACACTTCGAAAGGACGCCTTGGACGTCTTTCGGTAACGATAAAAGTAACGATAGCAAAATCTTCATAAAGTTTAAACAGATTTTGGAAGAGGTAATAAGCGAGCAAGTACTACCATTGAACCCTCCGATGGATGCTCTAAACGCTTCAAATGAATTACCCATAATCGTGTATACTAACACACAGAGAGTATAACGAGTTTTGGTAATGGGCGCCAATCAGTACATTGTCAACACTGAATAGCATAGGGTTATCGAGAGATAGACGCTAAAGAGGAATCAAGAAAGAGAAAGGGTTAGATATGTTGCCGGATGAGAGCACGAAAAAAAGGAACAAAGGATATAATTGACATATTATGGAAGTCGAAATAAAAACAAAAAAGACCTGATCGAAGGGCTAGAATAAAATGGATATATTATGGTTAATTATGGGACATTGAACTTAAGATACATGAAATACTACAGAGACACGCAAAAATCAAACATTTTATATACCTTATATTACTTAATACCTACAACACTTAAAACATGGTAAGGAAAACAACAAAGAGAACGGAAAAACACTAGCACACAAGCATGTAAAATTCAGCACCATATCGGGGTAAAACACAACACCTACCCATACAAGTAAACACTCATCTATATAAAATCACCTAGGACACATACCACACATACATCTATACATAGTCACCTAGGACACCATCACACATACATCTATACATAATCACCTAGGACACCTACCATACATACATCTATACATAATCATCTAGGACACCTATCACACATACATCTATACATAATCACCTAGGACACCTACCATACATACATCTATACATAATCACCTAGGACACCTACCATACATACATCTATACATAATCACCTAGGACACCTATCACACATACATCTAAAAATAATAACCGAGGACACCTATCACACGTATTTCTATATAAAATCACCTTGGACACATACCACACATACATCTATACATAGTCACCTAGGACACCAGCCACACATACATCTATGCATAGCCACCTAGGACACTTATTACACAAACATCTATACATAATCACC